CGCGATCTATCACACACTAACAGGAGTACTACTCCAGCTGTGACATCTCATCTCATCTTGACGCGAGAACAATCGCATCTAAAATAATCTGTGACTCGGAGAAATGACGACGATGAGTGCAGGGCCAAGCAGTGTGGCCGTGCCCGCGACAGGTGGACAGCCTGCCAAGGCATATATACGGTCACGCATCCTCCTCCTCCTCCGCTCCACAAGATTCAGACAGACATAAAAGGGGCGCAATAATTGAGGGTGATATAAAGAAGCAATTAGCTCCAAGTCACATGCATCCGTCGACTGAGACAGGCCGACTGATTGATAAACGGCTCCTGATTGCACCCAAGAGCCGTTTTTGTTGTATGATGTATGACCAAGTGGCTCACAAGTTGCTTCACGATTTTGCCCCTGCATTGGCGATTGCTCTTGCGCCCACCTTGGCATGCATGTCTTTGTTTGTACATTCATCCATAGTTGCTCCAAAATCCAAATGGATTAGGCAGGGCATCATGCGAACAGATAATGTGATCTGACATAAGTGAAAGGAGGGTTCACCAAAAAAAAAACATTCATCGTGTGTTACCTGCAGGCAGCATGCAGGGCGCCGTTCCGTCCGCTATGATAGAGTAGGGGCTTCGAGGAGGGCCAGCAACACAGGTTCACATTAGTGAGGTGAAACTAATGATTTTGGCAACACAGCTGCACATGGTTGAGCCCAGGAGGCCAGGACCAAGACTAGAGAATTGAGAGCAGAGAGCCCATCGTTGTTTCTGTGTCGCACTCGCATGTGCTTGAGTCGAGATGCAGCACAGGCACGGCAGCAGGAGTTCGGCCCAATAACCAGGCAGGCCCTTTATACGGCAATTGCCTGCATGCAGACGCCAGCATGCTTCCGAGTTGCCGGATGCGGGAGCGCCGGCCGGCGGGCATCACCGACCAGTGCGGCAGTGGACTCTGTGGCTCACGCGCAGCCATGGTGGTGGCGTGCTGGGGTAGTAGAGTCGTGGAGACACAGAGTGGCGGCGGGCATGTGGTGTGCCCTGGGAGGAGGAAATGTGGAAGTAACGAGGTTAGGGTTTCTTCATCGTATATATATACGGGAGATCTAACTATTTGCCACTCTTACGGTGGCCGCCTCTTCGTTTGCCAACTTTATCGTGCCAATTACAAAATTGTCCGAGAAAACAGTAACCAGACTAATATTTTGCCATTTTCGCCGACGTGTCATGCTGATCAGCGCGTGGCCGCGAAGTTAACGCTCCGCTCCGCGACCAACGCGCGCCGCAAGCTGCCTCGTCGCTCCCCGCTCCTGCTCGCTTCTCCTCCTTGTCCTCTCCTCGTCTTGCTCCGGCACACCGGGCAGCGTGAGCGTTGAACCGCCTCTCATGCCACCTCACATGCCATTGCCAACCTCGCCTGATCGCCGCACCGCCACTCCACTGCTTTTTGCTCCTCCTGAGCCTCGACCGCAGGGGAGGGCGGCTGAGCTACTAAGGAAGCTTGCCTAGGAGACCGGACATGTTAGCGCGCGCCGCCTTGCTGGTCGTCTAGGAATTGCCGCGCTGCAATGGATGGCCGGAGGAGGGGCGAGGAGGCATGCGGTGCGGTGGGGTGGCTGCCGCTTTGCTACATTCTCGCCTCATTGTGCGCCCGCTCCCAAAGCCAAATGGAGCAGTGGTGCTGCTCATGGCCTTCAAGAACGCATCACCGCGGACAGATAAATGATGGCTGGCTGACCTAAGACGCCGCAGGATGCGCGGAACGACCGCAAAAAAACATTCATCGCCTAACGGACCGGCGGTGGTCAATGTGACCTCCGCCACGGGCAGCAGAATGCAACAACTCCGGCGCCGTTCCGTCCGCCATGATAGATGGTAGGGCTTCGAGGCGGGCCAGCAACACAGGTGTCATGGTCATTAGCCTCGTGCTTCCCAACACGCAGCTCTGGGACGCCGCCGCCGAACTCTCCGCGCGAGCACCGCACCACCTCACCTCTCCGGGAACAGCCTCGGCGGTGGCATGCCGACCACCACGCCGCTCAACGCCACAGGAGCCCGTGCGTCTCGCCGCGGGCAACGCCATCTCCAAGACTAGCGCGGTCTCTAGGAGCTCAACCTCTCGGAAGAAAGCATCCCCGCACAGCTGTGTTGGCGTTGTGCGAGCGCCTGCCGCATGTGCTTGAGTCGAGATGCAGCACAGGCACGGCTTGAGGCAGGAGGCGGTTGGGCTCGTTGACCCTCAACGGCAGCGGCAGGCCCTTTATACGGCAATCCGCTGCTCGCGTTCGTCGTCGAACAATGGCAGACGACCGAGCATGCTTCGTCGAGTTGCCGACGGTGGACATGTCGCGGAACAACTTCACCGGCGCGATCCACAGGAGCGGCCGGCGTGGCGGCATCACCGAACAGTGTAGGGCCGCAGTGGACATGCTCCATCCCGTCGTCGCTCTCGAACCCTCCAACGCGCGCGCCGACGTTCGCGGCCATCCCAAGATCGTGGTGGCGTGTGGCCATCCATTAGCGGGGCGAGGGAGGCGACGAAACGTAGGCGCCGTTCGCGGAGACGGACGCGACTTCCTGCTGGCGCGTTGATCGGCATGACACGTGGTGAAAATGGCAAAATATTAGTCCGGGTTACTAGGGGCAATTTTGTAATTGGCACGATAAAGTTGGCAAACGGAGAGGCAGCCACCGTAAGAGTGGCAAATAGTTAGATCTCCCTATATATACCTGGCTGCCTGTAGATGGGCCTTTAATGGGCCTTCGCCTTCCTCTCTTGCCAGATCGCGCCGGTAGCCACCTGAAGCGGGGCGGGGAACGGGGAACGGGGACGGGGACTGCGCCACCATCCCCGTTCCCGCCATCCCCGACGGGGACAGTGTTTGGACCGTGAGAATCCCCGTGGGGAGTAATATGATCCCATCCCCGTCCCCAAATAGGGGAATTTTCGGCGGGGAATCAGGAAACGGGTCCGTTGCCATCTTTACAGCCGGCAAAACAAAACAGGTGGAGCTTACAAGCAGCGTTGCACGAGGTGGGTTCGACCGCGTTATTGGGCCGTAGATGCCCACAAGCAGCGTGTTTGCACGCGTGTCAGCTCAATTGAGCAAGCCGCCCCTGACCGTTTTGTTAATATATACGGGCCAAATTAGACTTAGCTTTTGTTTTATCAGCAAAATTAATTACAGTTTTTTGAAGTATATAAGTAAATAAGTTTGCCTAAATAATAGTGTTCTATTCCCACTTCAAACAAACTTTATTCCCCAAGTTTTGTCCTCCAATTTTAAAGTTGTTGAAGTATGATTTGGGATGTATTTAGCTAGGAATATTCAAGTCTTTGGCTATAAGTTGTTACGGCCTTAATATATTTCAATTATTCTATTAGTGTTTTTAATAAGTTTTATTAATGCTTACACAATGCTCATAAGCCTTTAACTTTGACGTTTTATCAAAGATCTAGGATAAGCTATTTTATTTTTCTATATTGGTACTTAATTATTGATTGATTTTATTATTTTTGAGCTAATTGCTTCTTTAAGCGTTATTCTTAGTTAAGTGCTATATCATTGGGTTAATTTCCATCGTACTTAAGAATGGTTTAAGTTACATTATTTAAAAGCCGAAAATTATATCCTTTATGTCCACCATTGTCCTAATGTTGCCGCTGCAATTCTACATTGAGTTCTTCATCACTAGAAGCGGCAAGTCCCAATCCGATGAAGACTAAGATCTACTTCATCTACGTCAACTTATACATCAAGTACAAATAAAATTCTTAACTGACCATTTCAGCTACATCGACTCCTATAAGCTTTGGTCCATATCTAATAATCTAATTTCGCAAAATATTGAGTTAGTGATTATGTTTAGGCTAAGATAAAATTCTTTTACGTTAAGTGCAGTTCAACAAGGAAATATATGTTGCACTTCCGTGTTTGTGACCATTTCGTCAAGGATCCTTATATGACATATAAATGTGTAGTCTTTCAAAAGAATAAAATATTTTGTGAACATAAACCCACGATTTTCTTAACTAACCATGACAGCAGAATGCAATAGCTAGATGGATGAACATAGCTGAATTTGTAAGTTTTTTCTCGATCACGTAAAATGTTTGCGCGTCTTTGTATTAAGATAGAGAAAAAATTTAATACAACACACTTTAGCGACGCTCTAGGGGGCCAGAAGAGTTGTAGGTAGAGCCTAGCTGAATACATGTAGCCTTGTTAAGGCAAATATAAAGGTATTGTTTATTTTAGATAGAGATAAATATATGAGTGGTCTCTAAACTTGTGGAAAGATGTCACTTGGATTCATAAATTTTAAAACATACTTCCAATTCCCTAAACGTATGATTCAAAAATGGATCTGCGGTGCACCATTCTATAAATTTATAGATTATAGATGCTGCACCATTTCATAAGTTTAGAGACATTTTTCGTTTAAAGATCTTGTCAAGTATTTTCTAATTTTTAACTATATAAAAAGAAAGAAACACACCACTAAAATCATTTTAGATGAGGGCAGAGAATTAATTTAAACAATTTTGAAGAATAAGCATCATATTCGCTTGGCTTATAAGCCGTATTTTTTCCAGTGAACGAACATTATTTTTTCTCACAATAAATCAGTCAATAGTACTTTCAGCCATGGCAGCCAAACGAACTGGCCAAAAATATCCGATTTTAAAGTTTGATGGTCCCGTTTTTCAGCACTACCTCACCTGTACTTTCAGCGAAGCGAAGAAATGTTCTTCTCCCACACTTAAGCATCGGCCGCGGCCAAATTGTTCGGAGGCAAACGAAACAATCCCCAAGCTTCCGGCTTCCAGCAAGATCGGAACGCAACAAGCGAGCCAACACGTCCGCAATGCCGCCCTCCTTCCTCCTCGCGCTTGCGCCCGCGTCCGCCACTCGCATTTCCTCCCACTGCCCAAACCCCACCTCGTCTTCTCCGCTCCGGCGCTAACCCCACCCACCTTCTCCACAGACGCTACGTCACCGCTCCATGGCCACCATCCCCGCGCGGCTCCACCACCACCTCGTCGTCGTCGTCCTCTTCATCCTCCTCCTCGTGCCGTCGCTCACCTTCGCTCAGTCCCGCGCTTTCGGAGGTACCACCGAGCACCCAATCTCTAGGTCTCTGTAACCGACGCTATCCGTCTGCGGCGGCTGACCTGTGCGGCGTGGGTGTGGTTTGGTTTTCGCAGGGCCGCCGCCGGCGTACGCGCGGTACCTGGTCGATGCGGCGGCGACGCCGGCGGTGGAGCTGTACGACTACATCGTCGTGGGCGGCGGCACGGCGGGCTGCCCGCTCGCGGCCACGCTGGCGGGGCCCGGCGGCGGGCGGGTGCTCCTGCTCGAGCGCGGCGGCGCGCCCAGCGAGTTCCCCGCGCTCGCCACGGCGGGCGGGTTCGTGAGGACGCTCGCCATGGCGGACCCGGCCCCGGAGTCCGACGCGCCGGCGCAGGGGTTCACGTCGGAGGACGGCGTCCCTAACGTGCGCGCGCGCGTGCTCGGCGGCGGCACGGCCATCAACGCCGGGTTCTACTCGCGCGCGCACCCGGAATGGTTTCGCGGCCACGCCGAGGTCGGTTTCTGGCATAAACAATTTCGTCTTCTATGCTTTCTACTGCCTTAATTTGGTGGCACACGCGTTTCGCATACATTTTTTTTTTTGAAAGGAGATTAACTCGGCTTTTAAGAAAGCCAATAACAGAGTCATACACACTGGTTATACCAGTTCGACAACTAAGGTTTAAGCAACAAAACAAAGCCTGAGAAAGGCTCGCCCCAGAGCCAACAGACACTAACTTCATAACAAGAACATTCTGAAGCTACATCACTACAATGTCTGAATATGATCCCATCATACGATCCTTCTTGCTCATCCAATCATCCAAACACTGTCCCATCGCCTTCATCCTGGCTTTGTCGCGCTCCTTTTGTAGCTCGGCCCACATTTGCATGAAATTGGCAGCCATATGAATCACTGAATCAGGATTGTCAGGAAAGCGCTTCTCAATGACCATCTTATTTCAGTTCTTCCAGATCGCCCATGCGAGACCTGCAAAGAAAACAAAAGATAATCTCTTAGGAATTCCCAGCCTCCTTGGCAACCATTGGGAAATCAATTCCTGCATTGACAGAGGAAAGCCTTGCAAGTGGAAGGCATCCCTGATACAGCACCACACCACACATATTGTGCAAAGACACATTCAAACAGAATATGATCGACTGTTTCCACCTTGCCACATACACAACACATAGGGCTACCATGCCATCCTCTTTTCACTTCGCGTTTCGCATACATCTGCAATGATTGTTCAATTATGTTTCGTTTCCTACCGTGCTGGTTGATGAGGATGCTCAATGATTTCCGTTTTTCTGGTCCATTGTTGCTGGAGGTTTTAGGATGCTGAGGTGACCAATTGGGATATGCCGCTGGTGAATGCGTCATATGAGTGGGTGGAGAGGCTGATGACGTTCCAGCCGGCGGTGCATGGGTGGCAGGCGGCGGTGAGGGCGGCGCTGCTGGAAGCAAATGTGACGCCGTGGAACGGCTTCACGGTGGACCATGTCACTGGCACAAAGGTCGGCGCCACGACCTTTGATGCATCAGGTCGACGGCGCAGCGCTGCGGACCTCCTTGCGTTTGCCCGTCCTAGCCGTCTCCGGGTTGCCGTCCGTGCTACAGTTACTAGCATCATCACCAACCCGATTGACCCTGGTGAGAGAGATGCATTCTTCTAATATAGTACAGTACAGCACTTCGTTTGTTACTTCTTGGTCCTTGTGGTAATTTGGATAAAGGTGACTGCGCATTACATTGCGGAATTGTAACTGAATCAACTAAGATAGCTGCCTACCTTAAGTCATTGTATCTTTCACAAACTGAATTTTCAAGTCAATTGCATATACCAGAATCATTGCCTAAAGTTCATTTAAACTTTTAGTAGTAAACTCTGAATCGACAATAACGTCTTAGTTTCTGATCCGGTCACTATTTCTGTGCAAGATTTGAACCGAAATAAAAACAATAATGCTATATTTTTTTTCTGATTTGGTTGCTGTTAATTCAATTCTCTTAAAAAATAGGTTCCGGTGAATAAGACTCTAGGTTTACTTAGCAGAATGCATCCAATTTTGTCATTGGACTGTTTTATACAAGTATACTATTTTAGCTCTTTGGGTTTTACCTTCTCTTTGGGTTTTACCTTTTTTATTTTCTTTTTTCTTGCGAGACTTCAACTGAACAAACCACTTCCATTTTGTTGTATTGGCCAGCTGTGCGCCGTGGAAGGTCTCCACAACCAACAATTGCAGCAATTGGTGTTGTGTACCAGGACCATCTCCTCGATCAGCACCAAGCCCTCCTGCGCCCAGGTGGGGAGGTTATGCTTTCAGCAGGTGCCCTGGGGAGTCCCCAATTGCTGCTGCTCAGTGGCATCGGCCCTTCTACTGATCTTTCCAACCTCGGTATCCCTGTTTCTGCTGACATCCCCGATGTTGGCAAACATATGTACGACAACCCTCGCAATGGCATCTCCTTCATCCCGTCAGTTCCTATTGATCACTCTCTTATTCAGGTCGTTGGCATCCCGTCAGCTAATGGAACTGCCTCATACCTTGAGGCAGCATCATACATTGTCCCACTTGCTCCAGAGTTGAGATCTTCGAGTCCTTTCCTTGGCTCGTCATCTCCACTCTATGTTACTGTTGCAACTATCATGGAAAAGGTTCCTGGACCATTATCTGAAGGTTCACTATGGCTTTCATCAACGAATCCATTGGAGAGTCCTGCTCTGCGCTTCAACTACTTGAGCCATCCTGAGGACTTGGCACGATGTATCCTGGGTGTGCGTCATGTGGCAGAAGTGCTTGAGGGCAGAGCATTGGACGGATTTCGTTCAGCAGTTGGATTGACGAATGGAAGAGGAGGGTCTGTTAGGAGGGACTTCAGGATTGTTGGGACAGCACTGCCAGTTGACTGGAGAACAAACGATAGAGCTCTAGCAAACTACTGCCAGCAGACTGTGGCAACGTTATGGCATTATCATGGAGGGTGTGTCGCTGGGAAGGTGGTCGATAGGAATTTCCGGGTAATTGGTGCCCGTGCAATTCGTGTGGTGGATGCATCAACGTTCAGTGAGACACCTGGGACAAATCCTCAGGCTACAATCTTGATGATGGGCAGGTATGAGTTTTAATCATTCTTCATCCATTTCCAGGTGAAAGTGAAATGCTGTTGTTTTAAAACTACTGAACAATGTTATATAGTGTCGTGAAGTAAATCACTGGATCATCCTATCCGGCAACTATCAAGATGTTACCATGTTATATTTGAAATTCCGGTTAGCACTTTAGTCTTACTAGTTCATCAACTCGTGCACCCACACATGCTATCAATTTTCGGATTAGAAGTTTATGGGTAAATATTAGAATACAAATCAATGATCGGATGCTTACTTCTTTGTGAGATTTTTTAGGAGTTCTAGGATAATGCAAAGGCTTCAAAAGAAATTTTAGTGGTTGTATATACTTACAACCTACATATAGCTGTTTTGCTAATCATGTTATAGTAGAAGTTAACATGATAACTGTATTTTTTTTACATTAAACAGGTATGTGGGGCTGAAGATGATTGAGGAGAGACACAGTAGAAGGCCGGTTATACTGCCATAGACCCTCACATTCATCCACCAGCAAACATTTCAATTAACACACGTGTGGAGTGCTCGTACTTTTCCTGTAACCCATACTTCTAGGTTTTTCAACTGAGATTGCTGTGTAGATTACTAGCATGGGCATGTTTTGCGTGTGTGTGCATAGTGATATGAAGAGGGAAGCAGAAACTGGGACTTGCGTAGATATTGCATTTTTTTGCTAGAGATAGTTACCGCAAGACATGTCCTTCCGGTTGTTCTGATGGGTCATGGGCGTAAAGACTAGGAATTACATGCTTTTACGAGCAATGATAATCTATTATCTTGGTATTTGACCCGTAAAAGAAGTCTCCTCCTTTTTTCCCAATGCTTATAAATTATCAAATTAATTAAAGAAAATAAAATCAAAGTGGCTATTTAAATGTTGATAAATTACCCACACTGCTGGTACACAAAAAAGAACCGAATACGTTATATATCTATTTCTCTATTGTCCACCAGTGACGAAGCTATATTGTTGGTTGTGGTTGTGGATGCACCCACAAAAGAAAAATGAAAACCAATGACGATGATAAAATTTTCACCAGGATTGTGATTCAAGTTCACGCACTGTGCACCCATCCAATTTGCTTCTGAAAAACAATGTGACAACTTAGCAGGTGTTGTACATAGGCTGCTAATTTCTGGCTGGAGTTGTTGCCCGCTCTAACAATAAAAAAGTAATCAGCTCGCACGTGTTGCAGATACGCTGTTTAACATGCTCGTGTTGTTGCCCACTCTAACTCAAGCAAGTACATGTTTAGAACGAGAGGAATATAAATAGAGGAATAGAAATAGCGGCGTTTGAAACATAGAAATTATAACACTGGATTCTCAAAACATGAGTTTGTGATTAAAAAAGATGAGTACTTGTTTTTGTATTCAAATATTTCTCATTACAATGTCAATTTTAATTAGCAAATAAACATATATGATTAATACTTCGACAAGTACTACATGTCAGGACCAAACTAAAATGTAAATTTGAGCAATGTAAATTTGAGCATGTTCTATACTTCAACGGCTCTCGGGCTCGCTATATCGGATCTACCACCGTTAGTCGACCTCTTCCCTAGACTAGCTTTGTTAGGCATGTCACTGCCTCAACTTGCCACCTTTGCCCTTACCGCGTCTCCTTAGTCTCACCTCGCCACGCTACCCACAACTCATCATAGATGTGAGAATTGTGTTGTGCTTACAACTCAACTCCAGATCCAAAAATTAGAGATTTTGGTTGAAATGACCTCTTATGCTCTTGGATTCATGTGCCCAAGAACACATGCGTAAGTGCATAACAACCATGGCATCTTCGCCTTCCTTGCCATGGGGGACGTCCAGGTCGAACGTGTTGCAGGGCACCAAAGCATGCGTGGGGAAGGCAAGGTTGGGGTGCGAAGATGGGAACCAAGGTGCATAAGTGGGAAGAAAGAGCGAGGAAGGAGGGACGGACGTGGCGTGGATGGCTAGGTTGGAAGGTGATCAAGGGCAGGCGATCGTGGCGACCCAGGGGTGGGGTCCATGGTTGGCGAGGTTAGGTGGGGAGGTGAGGTGGCAGCCGGAGCAGGGCGGACAAGCGTGGAGCCGAGATCAGGGGACAATGGGGCATGCGGTGGCACCGAGCACGGCGCCGCGTGAACTATGGGTGGAGGAGTCGGTCGTTGGATTCAATGACGGAAAATAAAGAAGGAAAAGAACAAAATGAATAAATGTCATGACTTGTATAATGAGTGGCGGAGATGGGTAACTTCCCTCACCCAACTTCACAAAAAAAAATGAAACTCTTAGTCTTTCGAGCACCCCTCAGGAGTTCTATAAAATCTATAGGTCCAGTCACCAGATTTATGTTTGTTTCATGGATCTGAATTTCATGGAGCTAAAGCATTAGGCTTGTAGATTCAGAGTTGATGGAGCTGTTTCAAAAAGTCCTAAGCAAAAAAAAAAAAAAATATCAGCATACCATGTCAACCATTAATATTTATATATAATAGTTTATTCATATAAGTGGTCTATCTAATTTCATTCTAATAAATTATTCGCGCGCGGGATATTCTACTCGCGGTGCTGATCGGCGTTGACTCGCGGTCCCGGCACCGCTTCGCGGACGGGAGGAGGCGAGAATGCGAGATTGGTCGGCAGCTCGTCCACGCGGCCGGCGCGCGCGCTTGCCGCCGGGTTCACGCGACTACGAGTCTACTACGGCTAGTGGCCCGGAGAACGCGGGCACCAGACCACGGGAAGTCGGGAAGAGCTTGGAAAGGTGGCCACGTCGTTCGCAATTCGTGCGTGCATGGGCGCCGGATCGGCAGCTGACCGAGTTGAGTTGAGCGGCCTTCTCCGGCACGGCGGCACTGAACCAATCAAACTACACCCCGACGGCATTCATCAATGTCGCAAGAACGCATGATCCCCACGCGTCATTAAGGCATGTACAACCACAACGGACGAGTGTACAACCCAATACAAGAGGTCGTATCCAAGTTGTTTAATGTTTTGAAAGTAACCAAGATCAATCATTAATATCATTTTGTATACCATTGTATTGCTATTCGATAAATAATAGATTAAGCTTAGATAAGATAAACATGATTATAATATTTTAAAAAATATCAATATAAATGGTTGTATTATATAAGAAAAAAGTTTACCCCGTATGTTACTTACAAATTGCAGATTCTCGCAAGGTAGTAATCAAGCGTACTGCGTAAGGTTTGCGGGTACATTTGCATAAGCCAGGGCTTGCAGTTTCAGACATTGAACCAGGCACACTGCGGTTTTATTATTACACCCTAGCAGTCAACATGGAACTGATGTATCAGAAGTTCAGAAACACATTTATAAAAGCTCAGTGCACAGAAAAGCTAACCAACAATAAAAAATAAGTGTCACTGTGAACTACAACAGCCGATCCACACCACCCAAATGCTCGGTACATTGGCATCATGTCAGATATTGTACCGAAGTCCGAATGCTGACAGTTTGTAACCTTTGAATTAACCAGAAAAGCAGCGTCATTTCACTGGTAACCTTTGAAGGCAAAGCTACACTCGGCACACCATCACCTTCCACGTTTTACTCCAAATTCCCAATTCAGTCTATATGGGATGCTCCTTTACCACAGACCCAGACATCTGTCTTACTCTCACCCAATAGCATAACTGAAACCTAGGACAAGCAACATATGCACATTCAGCAGAACTTCCATGCACGAGGATATCAATGCAAAATGTGTTGGTGTTAATAGATTGATAGCAGTTGAAAATTAAAAAAAATGCATGTTAATAGCAAAAAAAAACATTTATCAATTTTGTAGGTAACAACTTGTAATGTTTCAGACTTCACTAGAATACTGATGGTCCCATCCAGATACAGTCTCACCCCTGATGCAATGAAATGGAACATGCTACATGACAAGTCAGCTAAACATAATTGATTGATAGATCAAGTTCACTCAAGTTTTTCAACCCACACCACTTTGTAGGAATAGAGCCTGTAAGTTGGTTCTAGAAGAGGTACAGTAAAATCAAGACCGGAGTGTTACACAACTCCTTTGGTATATATCACTCCAGTTAAGAAATTCTCTGAAAAGTCAATCGCTTTTGCAAGAGAAATATTCCCAATGTCAGATGGAATTGTACCCAAAGTCAATTTCATAATGCAGGCTTTTACCCATTTCAGTTTGCCTGCATCGCACCATTTTTGCAAATTGTTTCACACAGGCAAACAATTCAGATAAAAGATGACTGCTATCCTATCATTGTTATGGTATGAGGAACAATGACAAACTGAATCATATTAGAAAGCTGAACTAGGCTAAATATTCTATACTCCAGAGCATTTCCAAACAGCTAATAAAGATCAAATATAATTGATGCAACATGTATTAAAGTGCAACTGATAACACAGGGACATAATTAGCCATAGCACTGGACATCCAGGTCATCTACTCCTCAGTTAAGTAAATTCAAGGGAACTTGCACAAGACAATAGCAAAATTTAGTACGTACCAAAATTCAAGCAAAATTGTCGTAAGTGCATATTGAAGTTAAATTGCCATGCAAACCACCCTCGGGTGTCAGGGGTGATGTGTGGGGCTTGAAGCTAAGCTTCTACATCATCTGATGCCGTAACCAGTGGCGAAGCCAGGGGACCGGGGGCGGGGGGGCATGCCCCCTTAACATCACAACATTTTTTTTTAGCACCCTAGCTCGCGAGCCTTGAGCGACCTCCCTCGACCTTTGAGCCCTTTGCACATCAACGTCAGCTCGCCTCTCGTCCTCCTGCATCCAAATTAAATCAACCAAGATGCGGCAAGAACAGTTGCAATGTCAACCAGTGCCACATGTGACCATTCTGTTGAACTTCCCTTTAATGGCGGCCATGGAAAGTGTGGCCATGTAGCCACACAGGCCGCCAATCGCACAAGAACCAACCATGGCCAAAGCGAAGACATCGGCCACCATGGACACCACATTCCCCATAGTGCTTGTGAGGTCAGGTGAGGTGAGGGTTGGGTAGGGGGAATTGAGCCGACGAATAATTCGTTTGCGTTGGCATCTTCATATTGCCTCCACCCTTTCATTCTAGGAACAAATTTTGCTTCCCGGGCTTTTGCGATGTCCAACCTGCTCGGAGTAAGGCAAGCTCTTCGGAAGGGAGGAGGGGGATGGAACGGGAAGAGGCGGGGCCATGGGTACTTGGATGGAAGTGGTGGTGGTGGTTGGTGGTGCATTGCAGATGATAAAGAGTTACACCACATTTGGTTTGCGTCATGAAGGCATTCGGAATCATCAGAACCTAGTTGAACATAGCCCTAGCGTTTGGTTCGCGTCATGGGAACCGTCCGTCATGGAGTCGTTCCACGTATAGCACTCCTAGATGCCAACGGAAAGAGATTTTCAGATGATGTCATTCCCCAATAAAATGACAGAGACGCTAGACCGGCCAGTCCATGCTGCATGAATTGAATCTTCAAACCAAACA